GATGCAGAGTTGTAATTTCTGCCTTAAGGTATAGGTTAATCATCAGAGGAAAGCAACATTAACCTATGGGTCCTGTACTTCTTGTAAAAGTTTTGTTAATATTTTATAAATCGTAGTTACTTTTCTGGTTATCAATTTATCTTTAAAAAGAGATCATTCCCTTTCTCTTCCTCCCTCCCTCCTTCCTCCTCTCTCTCTCTTCTCACTTTCTCCTTTCCTTTCCCTTCCCTTCCCTCCCCTCCCCTCCTTTCTTTCTTTCTTCTTTCCTTTTTAAAGCATTTATCATACAGGAACTACCAATGCTCGATAAATTGTTGCTGTATTTCAAAACCATATAAGCTCTATTTTATTCCAAATGCCCTTTGATCATTTTCTTAAAGCATATTTCTATATTTAAGCAAGTGAAGAGAGATATTATTAAATATTTTAGGAAAATATTAAATTGTTTTTTGAAAAAAACATTAAATACTTAAACTTTCTCTTTTATTAAAGTCCATTTTGGACAAAGAAAAGATGACTACATTTAGTATATGCCACTGGAATATCATTACTTCTTTGTTTCAACTTAAGTGAATGATCTTTTATAACATTTTAATATCCTGTGGCTAAACAATATTGTGGTTGGCGCCATATGGCTCTTTTCCTGATTTCTATATTAAAATAGAAGGCTATATATAGAGTTCTTTGCTCAAGTTCCTTTACCCAAATTTATCATTAGAAGTCGGCATTAGTAGTGGATTTTTCATTGGATAAGGAAAACAGCGAAGAGGGAAAAATACATTGCTTTTGTAATAAACATGAGCATATTAGAGCACCTGCTATTTCTTTAACACAATTTTATTCAATCTGTTTAGTATGTTAAAAGATAAACTGAGAAATATTAAAAATTTTGAGGGTTTATTTGAGTAAAAATTGATTTGAATTGGGCAGCATCCAATCTAGCAGATAGAAAGGAACTCTGAAGAGCTGTATAAAATGAAAGACTTTTATAGGCAGAGGGGAGTGGGAATGAGGAATTTATACTGGCAAAAAAGCAGGTTGGTTATTGCAAGATTACTTTTCTTTAGTGGATGATAGGGGCCTATGAAGCAGATGACCTAACTAGTAAGTGTTGATCAGGTGATTTCTGATAGACTGGTTTAAGATTCCATTTCTGGGAGAGCTGAAATTATAATTAAGTCTTGGTTTGGTGATATGGGGCTTAGCATTTTGAGCCTGTTATCTTATTTTAAACAAATATTTAACTATCCTTTTTTTTTACTCATTTCATTTCTTGTGGAGGAACTGTAATAAGGACAAATAGATCAGAGAGAGCATTCTAATAGAATTAGAGTTTTTAGGGGATCAGTAAATAATAGCTCTTTCCTTTTCTTGAGTTTGTAAATAGACAAGTGGAATTTGCAATATCCTCTTTGTTACTAAAGAGCTGATTGTTTATAGTACTTTAGATGGGAGACCAGAAATGAGTACTAGTACCTCCCGCCCCAACTACTCCCTTTCTTAGAACCTGGACTTTAGTCCAGCTAAGAGAAAATTTTGATGTGCAGAACAGATACACTTACCCAGAGTTAGTGATTTCCATGGTCTAAGTTAGAGAGGAGGTAAAAGAAGGCAAACCATTAGAGTTACAGGTTTATAGTAGGTTATTTCTACTTGCAGTAATATGGATCAATGGATTTCTGCCATAGATCAGATAATTCTCCTGTTGGGAAGCTGTGAATAAGGAGTAGTGGGCCAGGGCTGTGAATCTAGTGATCTAGTTTTCCATCCTGAATGTTACCTCTGATCCATTTGAAATACGTGGAGGTGATTTTAAATTATTACAGTGTCTTTAAAATCTGGCTTTGAGATTCTAAAGGATAGGAGTGTTAAATATATAATGTAGAGATCTACCAGCTCAATGAAGAATTTCCTTCCCCCATTTCAATTCCAAAAACATCTCTATTGAGAACCATTGTTCCAGTGGGAGTTCCTTCATGTAGAGACATGAGGATAGGCCACATTTATCCCTAGTCTTTGTTCATATGTAGTCATTTTATTTTTTTTTTTTAATTTTTTAAAATTAATGTCAGTGTACACTATTATATTAGTTTCAGGTGTACAACATAGTGATTAGACATCTATATAATTTACAAAGTGATTACCCCATAAATCTGGTGCCCATCTGACCTCATTCATAGTTATTACAATATTACCGACTATATACATTATGCTATACTTTGCATCTTCATGACTATTTTGTGACTACCAATTGGTACTTCTTAATCCCTTCCTGTTTTTCACACATCACTGCAGCCTCTCTCTGATCTGGAAGTCATCAAAATGTCCTCTGCATCTAAGAATTTGTTCTTGTTCTGTTTGTTTATTTTGTTCCCTAGATTCCACACTCAAGTTAAATCACATGAGACTTGACCTTCTCTGTCTGACTTACTTCACTCAGCACAGTACCCTCTGCCAACCATGTTGGTGCACATGGCAAGATTTTATTCCTTCTTTGTGGCTGAGTAATACTTCATTGTATATATGTAAAAACTTCTTCTTTATCCACTCATCCATTGAAGGACAGGCAGGTTGTCTCCATACCTTGGCTATTGTAAATAATGCTGTTATGAACATATGAATGCACATATCCCTTTGAAGTAGTGTTTTGGGTTTCTTCCAATAAATATACCAAAAGTGCTGTTACTGAGTCTTTCTTTGTCTCTTGTTATAGCCTTTGTTTTAAAG